CCTTTACACCTAATAAGTTAGCTGTCCATATCTGCTTTCCCTTCCAAATCATTCCGTGTGGCGTTTTCTTAGAAAGTCATTAAAAAGTTTCATCTCTTGGTTTTACTTCTCTTGAGATTTCTTTTCCGATCCTGCATGTGGCCTCTGGCTACTTTCCTGTTTACTGAACTGAAAGGCTATCAGAAGTCCTTTCCTAGCGTAGCTGCCTCATTTCCATCACTTGTTTTAAGTGACCCTTGCCACACATCTGATGTCACCATTTCTCTGTACAATCATCCCCCCCCCCATCAGGGAGTAAAGCGGGCCACGGCGCACATGTGACAGAGCTGCTCTAGGGTGTGTGTGTGAAGAACCCCACCTGTGTGTCTAGCTCTCCCTGCCTCCTCCACTGTGCTAGCTAACTGCATTACCCACGCCCTTGAGAAACTAGGGAACTCCTTTACACCTAATAAGTTAGCTGTCCATATCTGCTTTCCCTTCCAAATCATTCCGTGTGGCGTTTTCTTAGAAAGTCATTAAAAAGTTTCATCTCTTGGTTTTACTTCTCTTGAGATTTCTTTTCCGATCCTGCATGTGGCCTCTGGCTACTTTCCTGTTTACTGAACTGAAAGGCTATCAGAAGTCCTTTCCTAGCGTAGCTGCCTCATTTCCATCACTTGTTTTAAGTGACCCTTGCCACACATCTGATGTCACCATTTCTCTGTACAATCATATCATCAGTGTGTATTTTCCGGGGTGAGACTCTTCACTGTAGTCCTGATCATTCATATAGGTTTCATGGGCCCAGCTGTGGCAGCACAGCAGCAGCCAGCACTCTGCCCTGCAGGAGGCCTGATGGAAGATTGGGGTTCACTTCCCACTTGGCCTGTGTACATGGTTTGCACGTGTGCCCATGGTCTGGCTGGCTGGGAAGACCGAGGGGAAGATCATGGTGTCAGACTCTGTTGAAGATACTTATTTTTCTCTCAGTTTCCCTCTCTTTCCATCCCTCAAAGAAAAATTAGAGCAAACAAACCAAACATTTTATGGAGGCCTGCTTTGTGTGCTGAAGTCAGAATGTCGTGTTATCCTAACAGTCCTGATTTGCCCTGCACAGGCTGTGCCGACGTGTGTGGAGTCGTCCATCTCACCTGTCTGCAGGTGTGTGTGGGGAGGGGAGCAGGAGCCACCTTCCCTTTCCTCGCTCCTGTCTGGATGGAATGGCTCTGCCTGTGAACTCTCAAAGCCTTCTGGGCCCTGTAGGTGAGCCTTGCTATGTTATGAAATACCTCAGTCAGGGGCCAAGGGACTTCGAAGAAGGAGCAGGCGGGAGTTAACACTTGCTCCCGATTGAAACCTAAATAGGTGCACGTTGGAGTGTGGGCAGCACAGTGGCAGGTACTGCCAGATGCCAGGAGTATGAATGAGTCCAGCTGAGCCAGGAGTCAAACCCAGACACCCCAGAGGAGCAGGGAGCAGAAGGTGTGTGGAGGTGCTTGGATCCTGACAGGTCGGTGTGGTGTTCCTAGTGTCCTCGTGCTCAGCCAGAGCAGGCTCTTTGCCAGGGTGTGCTGCCTGTGCCCATGGGTAATGGCTACAACCAAAAGTGGTCTGAGGACAATGCAAGGGTAGAGGTTCTAGGATTGCCCCCAACTCAATACAAAGTTGCAGGGAGTTTTCATTTGGGAAGAAAGTACAAAATATAAAATTATCCATACATGGGTTACAAGAACATCAGGAAATAGTTCCTGGACTCGCTTGCTTACCTAGGCATCTTACGCTGCAATTTACCATTTCTACCAATTGGCTGCATCCTTCCTTAGCATACACGACACCAAGAGGATGCCACAAGTAAGCAAGTTCAATGATGTTTTTGTGTCATTTGGTTGGTCCTCAACATTAATAAGATATTGGCCAAAGCTGAGTATTGACATTTTTTCCAAAATCTCAGCAGAGCATTCTTGATGTTTTAATTGCATATGACTTCTTGTCAGCAGTACCAGGAAAGTCATAAAATCCTTTACTTGTTTCCCCCAATCCTGGGAAAATCTTGGCATCATTGGCAGGCTCAGGCCCCCCAGCCACAGGGCACACTTGCCTTCAAGGATGTCCAGTGGCAAATGGCCGGTTGAGTTGAAGTTAAGGGTGCCATGTCAGATTTGTGCCTTGGAAATGGAATTAGCTTTATTCCTTTTTTTTTTTTTTTTTTTTTCATTTAGTAAATCTGAGTACAAAACGCCTGGGAGGCATGGATAGAGGACATGAACCTGGAACTTCCCATGTGGGTCCGCCTCAGAACATGGTGTTTTAGTGCTGCAGCACCATCTGGCTTCTATTCTGCCCGCATTTACAGAAGCACGGCTAATCCATATTCTCACTAGCTTCTCTCCCTTTTCCTTACTGCTGGTGCTAGCTCAGTCCAGGCTGGGCGGGCCGGCATTACCTCAGTCCAATACCATGACTTCCTGCCTCACGTCTGTACCTCCCTGTCACAGCCACACGCTGTGGCTGTACTGGCCTGTCAGAAAAACAGCTCCCTTCACACCTGCTCAGAAACCTTGGTGGTTCCTTCTGCTGATGGAACTGTAGCAGATGGGGGCAGGGTCTATGGATCAGGTGAATCTGGTAGTGCCAAATGGCACGCTAAGGAACGTGGACATCAGAATCACATGGATGTACTTGCTCAAAGTAGAGGAAACTGGCCCAGCCACAGTGGCCCTAGCAGGAAGGCATCACCGTGTGGTGGCTGAGGCTGCACTGGAGAGCCAGGTTCAGTTCCTGGCCCACCTAAATGAGCTGGGTGTGGTGACTCACACCTTTGGCCCTAGCTAACTGGGAAGTTGGGGCAGGACGTGATGTGGCAAGACCTTGTCAAAAGTGCCTATCTCTTGCTCTCTCCCTCCTATTCTCTCTCTGTTATAACAAAAGAAAAAGGGGTGGCCCCTTAGTGCAGCAGTAGTGTTGTCAAAGGAGGCTGCATTCCATATGTCCAGCCAGGATTTATGTCCCGGCCCCAGCAGCTTGGAAAACACAGGTGGGGCACTGCACATATGTCCAGGATCCTGATGGGACGGAGAATTGGAGGAAAAAGGATTGTCATGTGATCAGACCCCCTTGGAGGCTGCTTTCTTCCCCTGTTCCCCCATCTCCCTCTCATGTGTGCATGCGCCTTCTGCCGGGGGAAAAGAATCCTTGTCTTTCCCAGAATTACTAAATCCAAATCACCAGGGATGGTCCTGGGCTTTATGGTTTCCATAGCTGTTGAAGATTTTGGGGTGCTAACCTTGTCTAACATCCCATCTGGGGATTTGATTCCCATCTGCTACACCTACACTAATCTCCAGTGAAACTGATCTAGCTACTTGGTAAGAAACCATGTTCATCTTTGGGTGTCTCTGACTACACACTAACACTGGTTCTGTCCTGTGGAGCCACACAGAACAACCCACTCCTTCCCACACCATGGCACTGCTCCTTACTGAGGGCTGCTATCCTTCTGCTTCAGCCTTCCATCCAGGATTACAGGACTACTGCCACCATGCCTGGTCTTTAGCTTGAACTGGGACGTGAACCCAGGCCCCTCCTGTGGTCCCAGCCTGCAGAGCACAGGTCTTAGCATGCACTGCCAAGGCTGGGCCCATTCTTTTTGAGGTATACCATTCCTATTTTCTCACTAACCCTACGTCCTCTCACTAGACCACCTGGATCTGTCTTAGAGTGTCTCAGAGTGTGGCTCTGCGAGGCAGTCCCAGAGGTCCCATGCAGTCAGATGGCCCACGGAAGAGCATTATTTCCTCTTTTTTGCTAGAATCTCTACTTCTTGAAGTGAAGTTTAGATGAAGAACAAGAGCTAACACTTTACTGACATACCTGGTAGGGCGAGTTTCCATAACCTCTTCAGGGTTAAGGTGAAAATTCATCTTGCACTGTGTGAGGCAGTGCATAGACCACAGTCAAAAGGAGTGGGTTCTAATCCCACCTCTGTTACTTCCTATTGTGTGACCTTCGACAAGTTACTTAACCCCTCTGTGCCTCACTTCCAGGTTTACAAAATGGAAATAATTATTGTACTAACTTGATATGGATATGGTACATATTATGATGTGTGTGTACATATACATATATTTGTGTGCGTGTGTGTGGTGAACCCAGGCCCCTCCTGTGGTCCCAGCCTGCAGAGCACAGGTCTTAGCATGCACTGCCAAGGCTGGGCCCATTCTTTTTGAGGTATACCATTCCTATTTTCTCACTAACCCTACGTCCTCTCACTAGACCACCTGGATCTGTCTTAGAGTGTCTCAGAGTGTGGCTCTGCGAGGCAGTCCCAGAGGTCCCATGCAGTCAGATGGCCCACGGAAGAGCATTATTTCCTCTTTTTTGCTAGAATCTCTACTTCTTGAAGTGAAGTTTAGATGAAGAACAAGAGCTAACACTTTACTGACATACCTGGTAGGGCGAGTTTCCATAACCTCTTCAGGGTTAAGGTGAAAATTCATCTTGCACTGTGTGAGGCAGTGCATAGACCACAGTCAAAAGGAGTGGGTTCTAATCCCACCTCTGTTACTTCCTATTGTGTGACCTTCGACAAGTTACTTAACCCCTCTGTGCCTCACTTCCAGGTTTACAAAATGGAAATAATTATTGTACTAACTTGATATGGATATGGTACATATTATGATGTGTGTGTACATATACATATATTTGTGTGCGTGTGTGTGCGTGCATGTGTGTGTGTGTGTGAGTGTGTGTAGACAGAGAGTTTAGAATAATGCCTGGCACATAATAATTTCTAAGGAAGTATTATTATTATTATTTTGCAGAAAGGCCAATTGTGAGAATATCAACTATACTTAAAATATGAAATATAATCTCTAGTCTAATTTTAGCAGCCATTTATTTTCCCTTCTTTTGAAGGCCCAGCTGAAAACAATAAACCTCCTATCTCTGGAAAAAGAGTCAAGTTATTTTTGTTGTTGTATAAATAGTAGTTATCTTTTATTTAAAAAAAATCTCAGAATGATGCACGGACTTGGATTTATGACAGGCTCATCCTCCTGGGTCCCCCATCGTGCCCCCTGCCAGAGCAAACTGGCCCCGACCCATGCCCGGTCTCTGCCTGTGGGATGCTGCCTCTGAAGCGGGTTGCACGATGGGGAAAAAAAATCTCAAAATGGCTCCTGGTTCTCTAGAAAACAATCTATATGCATCTGATCATTTAGAATTAATGCAGTTTCTGCTTTAAACATTCATTGCTGGACAAAATATGCACTTGCAAGGGTGAAAACATCGTAAACAAATGATTATCCAGACTTGAAGCAAAACAAAACAATTTTAGCCTTCGCAGTAGAACACTGAGGACAGATATATAAATCCCCAACTTAAAACATCAAGAGACAGAAACTGGGAAGCAGACATCACCTCAGGTGTAAAATTTCCCTTCCAAATGTCTGTAGCAGTACAGGGACCCATGTGCTCCGAGGCATACAAACACGGCCTGCTCACACCACAAACGCGACAAACTCATTAGACTCTTCACAAGATTCTGAAAGCTTTGGAAGAAATCACATCCCATTTTATTTGAAATTGAATTAAAAGGTGAATACAGAACTACTGATGTACCGAGAGCCAAAGTTAGAATGAGAATGGATCGGCTTCTAATTTCAAGTTTTCACCTTGGAAGAAACTTACCTAGATATGATAAATGACATACATTATAACCAATGACCCAAGAAGTGTCTTTATCCTAAGTCTCTAATTCCAGCTTACATTAAGTTTGCTGTGTGAAGTTTGTTACTGTTGTGCGTCTGAAATGATGATAATACGTTCAAATGTGGCTTCCTAATTATTTATTTACTTTTAGAACTTGAGACCTACTTTGCAAATCCCCTCTTTGATCCATGAACTCTAAGGAAATCGGAAACCTGAAATCCTGACTCTCTTACCTGATGTTGGCTCAACAGCAAAGGCTTGATGGAACTGAATCAAAGTGATGTGGAACTCGAAATCTACTGGGCAGCTGCACTGCAAAGGAATGATGTACGTTTTGCTGCAAAACAGAAAAAAGAAAGAAAGGACTTTTTTGGGGGGTTCTTTTGGCAGCAAGGAATAGACTCAAATTACATAAGAAACAACCACCACCAGAACAACCAACACTGGTCCGCATGTTCCATATTCCAAGAGCTATTCCGTGCATTTCCCACACTAGGGAACTTGGCCCCACTTATAGAGGGGGAAACTGAGGCACGAGAGAGTAAGTGGACTGTGTGGGGTGACAGGACTAGTTAGTGGCAGAACCGGGATTGCACACAGGTCGCCCGTCCTTGGTGTCCCCACTCCTGACACCCCTGCCCATGCTGCCTCTCCAGTACTATCAGGCTGATCCTATGGAGATGGGAAAGGCAATCTCTACCCCATGGCCAGGCACAGGGAGCCTCGAAAATGCCAAACAGAAATGCCTTATATGAAGGGGTAATCAAAAAGCTCATGGAAAATGTGTGTCATGAAAAAACCATGCTTGGATTTAAAAATATTTTTGTACCAAAATAAACTTGTGTTTTAATTCCATTTTCCACAACTTTTGAAAGTCCCTTATAGAAAGCCTGGAGGCACCCTTCGTCTTCACTGTGGGCTGCACTTGAAATATGCTAGAGACTCCCTGGTTAGAGACTCCTGGCCAGAAGTCCAGCAAATATTAGGAAACTGAGGAGGGTCTGTGCACTCAGAAATGCTATCACTGACGACGAGGCACTTCTTAGCCGGTGGGAGGCTATTGCCAACAGTAGCACAGCAGATACTGCGATGGTGACATTTCTCAGAGGTCCCATGCTTCTCTTCATGCCCTCTCCTCTCGGGCAGACGCTGTCAGCCAGCATGGGTGGGAGAGCCAGACGGGAAGGCGAAGGCAGGAGAGGTCACTGGGAGTACTGTACAGGGCTCGGGGCAGGTTATCTGATCCCCTTTCAGCAGCAGAAAGATGAACTCTGCCTTTCCCATGCCCCGACACTTGCATGTCCCTGTCTTTCCTGCACTTCCTCCCTTCTCCTCTGGCCACCAGCTGCTTCTTCATTCTGGACTCTGTGCCTCTCTCCTCTACCCCGGACTCTGGAGCCCTCATGGCCCATCAGGACCCTCCCACCTGGTGGCAGTTCTCTACCTTCTACACTTTAGATGGTGGCCTCTCTGCCCACTGTGTGTCCCTTCACATCTCCGAGGTCATATATCCTGGGAGGAGGTGATTGTAACATGATGTGAGCAGAGGTCCTGGCAGTACTCGTCCCAACACATCTGCCGCTGTGCTTCCCCATCACGCCATCTTCCTCACTGGCCCAGAGCCTGTCTTCCCTTGGAGACTAAATTCTATGAAAGTTTGTGTCCACGTGGGTCTCCCTTGTCACCTCAGCACTACCCCCAAGTCTCACAGAATGAACACTCAACATATACACAGGATCTTCAAAACATTCCAGGAAAATGCACATTATGAAAAACTAGGCATAGATTTCAAAGTGCATTGCACCAATAATACACTCATGCTTTGATTCCATTTTCCCGCACACTTTTAGAAGCCCCCTTATATTTGCTGGGGCAAGGTAAAATAACCCTGTGTTCAGTAGCAATTTTGGAGGTAGAGTATAGTTCAAATGTGGTTTTGAAATTATGCCCAAAACATTTTTATTTGGCTTTAAAGTTCAATGCTTTTAAATTTTGTTGAAATACTTCAAATGTAAAGAAAAATATAACGAGTAGAAAAAGGTTTTAAACATCCCTTTATCTACCACCAAGCTCTAGCTAATCTTTTGCTTTGGATGCTGTAATCTGCTCCCCTCCGCCCTCCAGCCAGCCAGGATCATGGGTATGAGCACACGTGTCCCGCATGTTTCAGGTCCACCCAAGACCCGAATCTGTGGCTCCAGCATTGAAGAGCGGCAGGCTACTCCCTGCAGCATCAGCCTGGGAAATACTGTTACAGTTCAAACATTGCAGAGGAGCGGAAGCTCTCTGGACACTCCTCTCCTTCCTCTCCTTCCACGAGCAACACAGGAGTTTCTGTTGGGCACCAACACTCGGGATTTCCATAGGTTAATTTCTGCCAACCTGATCAAGGTGAAATGGTATCTCCATTTATTTATTTATCTTTCTTTTGTGAGAGAGAGTGAGTTGGGATCCCCTGACAGGACCTTATTATGCTGTGATCCTCCCCATCACCTTATGACTGGCCAGGATCACAGCATGTCCTGGGCTGTGCTTGGCACATTCAGGTTGACCTGGGATCTGAAACCTGGGCTTCCTGTATGCCTCCAGTATTGTGCAAAACACCCTGTTGCCTGCACCACTGCAGTTGGACCTCTCATGTTATTTTAATTCTCACTTTTTTTTTTTTTGGAGAGGTTTTTTTTTGCTATAGGGCATGTGCACTCGCCAGAAAGACAGGGAGAGACAGACAGAAAGCAAGAAATCACTCCCCGGTGGGATGGCACAATCCCTTCTCCTCCATTCTCCTCTTGGGATCTTGGGCATGCACAAACATACGCCCAACGTGAGTTCAAGCCACTGGGTCCGGGACTCGAACCACGGCCGACTACATGAGAGTCCAGCGACATAGCCATTAGGCTAACTGCTGGTTCCTAATTCTCACTTTTATGAGGTTGAACTTCTATTCAGCTTCTATTCCTATGTATCAATGTGGGTTTTCTCTTCCATAAATTGTTGTGCTATTCTTTGCGCATTCCTCTTTTGGGTTGTTTTGTTCTCTTATTTACTAGTAAATTCTAATATCAATTTAGTAAGTTTTATGTATTAGAAATATATTTTTCTACTCATAGTTTCTTTAGATTTATTTATGGGATTCTTTGTTAAGCAGAGTTTTTAATTTTGTTTAAAAAGAATAACTTATTTAATTTGATTTATTATTATTAGTTTTAAAATTTGCTATAGGGCACAAGTGCTCAACAGAGAGACACACACACACACACAGAAGGTGAGAAAGCAAGCTGCTTGGTCCAGGACTCAAGCCGTGATCAGCCGCATGGGAATCCAATGTCTTAACCACCACACCACCTGCTGGTTCCCCAGAGTTTTAAATTTTGAAGTAGTCAGGTTTCTCCATATTTGATTTTAGAGCAAATTGAAATATGTTTAATATTATGAACATGAGTATCTCTAATTTATTCAGATATAATTTTATGTCCTTCAATCAAATTTTAGGGGGAACCAGCAGTTAGCGTAATGGCTATGTCGCTGGACTCCCATGTAGTTAACCGCGGTTCACGTCCCGGACCCGGTGGCTTAAAACTCACGCCAGGCGCGTGTGCGTGCATGCCCAAGATCCCGAGAGGAGAATGGAGGAGAAGGGATTGCGGTGTGACCATCCCCTCTGGGGGGTGATTTCTCGCTTTTTGTCTCTATGTCTCTCTCTGTCTGTCTGGCGAGTGCACGTGCCCTATAGCGAAAACCTCTAAAAAAAAAATATGTTTCTCCATAGTAAGCTTGTACATTTGTACATTTCGGTTAGACTTTTCCCCCTGGGTGGGTCGGTATGCTCAGGGTGCTGTAACAGCCAGAGACAGGGGCTTACAAACAACAGACATTTATTTCTCAGCACTCTGGGGTCTGGGAGATCAATGCACTGGCAGACGTGGTGTCTGGTGAGGGCTTGCTCATGGATGATTATCTTCTCACAATGTCTTCACATGGACGTGCCCAGAGAGCTCACCCTGGTGTCTTTTAGAAGGACATTGACCCCATCTGTGAGGTTTAACTCCCCTGACGTAATCATTTCCCCAATGTTCCACGTCCTAACACCATCACTTTGGGTGTTAGATTTCAAAATACAAACTTTTTTGAGACACAAACATTGAAACTACACAACCAGGTATTTTACAGCTTCTGTTACCTTTGTGATGGACTTATTTTTTAAATAATTCATTATTAGTAGTGTATTGCAATGCTACTTGATTTTGGATATTGATCTAAACCATATTAAAGACTCTGATGGGATGCAAAATTTTACCTGTAGAAAGCCTGGGGGGGGGAGACCTCAAAATAATATTCTTGTCTGTTACAGTCATAAATAAAACTGATAAGGCATTACAATTTTTATCTGTAGATTTTCTTAGATTTTTCTATGTAGAGAATCATATGATCTGGAAAAAACAAAGGACACTTTCTTACTAACTTTTCCAACTCATAGGACTCACATCTTTGTTTCTGGTCATTGCATTAATGATGGCTTCCAGTTCAGACTGAATGAACATGGTACTAGAAAGCATTCTTTTCTTATTTTGACATCAGTGGGAATACTTTTATGTTTTACCACTCAGAATGTTTCTGGGAAGTTTGTGATACATATCTTTTATTGAGTCAAGAAAATTTTCTTCTATTTCTAAGCCCTTTTTCCATTTCATCAGGAATGAGTTTTTGATGTCTGTTTGAATTTGCTTGTTATATATAACTCTTCCATTCCTTTATTTTCAAACTCTATAAAGTTTATTTTAGGTATGTCTCTAGAAAAGCAGTCTATAATTTTGAAAAATTCATTTATTTTTATTAGTGATAGAGAGCATGTGTGCATGCATGAGAAAGAGGGAAGGGAGAGAGAGAGATCCCTCAATAGGGCCTGGTCATGCTATGATTCTTTTTTCTCCAATTCTCTATTCTGTCCGGATCCTGGGCATGTGCATGTAAACCTGGCATGATGCCCAAGGGACTGGAATTCAAACCCTGGTCAGCCATGTGGGATCCAGCTTCCTCTGTGGAGTGCTGTGATATTCTACAGCTTGACTCCCAAGTGCTTAGGCAGAAACTTAACTGCGTTCTGCTTGAATGCACCATTTAAAGCTTCATATTCATCTTAAATTCAGGAAAATTCTCAGCTATTAACTCTTCAAATGTTGCTTCTCTGCTATTCCTTTCACTTTCTTCCAACAGAATTCTTATTAGATATATTTTGGAGTCTCACTCTAGCATCTATAGCTCCTAATTTTCCTTTTTTTAAAATTTTTCTTTTTTTAGTGTTTTGTTTTTTTTTTGCCATAGGGCATACGCACTCAC